GGGTGGGGGTGGGTTTCTCTGGCCCAGATCAAAGGGAGAGCGGCCTTGGCCACGACTACAGTTCCCAGGAGCGCTCGCCCGCCCCGCCTGGAGCCCCACCCCCTCCAACATCCCTCGGCTCCCCTTCGAAGGCAATCGCTCCATGGAAACCGAAACAGGAGCGTTTGGACGGCTTGTGTCTCCTCCTCGCTCGTTTCTCAGCCGGAGGGCGAGTCCGTCTCGCCTCAGGCTCGGAGGAAAAGTTTCCAACCTTTTCCCCCACGGGGGAGCCGCGTAAAATAAGGCAGCTCCCTTTCATAGGGGCTCCTCCAGAACCCGTCTTCGGCACGCCCTCCACACGATCCTTCTGTGGCGGAGACGAGAAAAGTGAATTTGGGTTGCCCCGCCGTCGTCTCGTCTGTACTCACCGCAACACCGCCCCATTCTCCCCCCGGGTTCGGCATTTCTGGCGCTTCAGGCGCAATGCCGTGCACTCGTCGGAATGGCTGTCCAGGGTCCGTCAGAGATCAGGCACCCTTGGCTTTATTGTGAGTCTAGACTCCGGCAAGTCCGATACGAAAGAAAGTCAAGTGCTACAACTAGGATACCCACCCACCCCAAGCTACTGTTGGACGACAACGCCTATCATCCTTCACCACCATTGCCAGTGGTGACGGATGATCGCGGTAGCGGTTCAGGAAGAGCTGGACTGCTCCAAGCAACCCCCCCCCCGAAAAAAATTAGGAGCCACCCCTTGATTTAGGAAGTGAGCGATACGAAAGAAAGTCAAGTGCTACAACTAGGATACCCACCCACCCCAAGCTACTGTTGGACGACAACGCCTATCATCCTTCACCACCATTGCCAGTGGTGACGGATGATCGCGGTAGCGGTTCAGGAAGAGCTGGACTGCTCCAAGCAACCCCCCCCCCGAAAAAAATTAGGAGCCACCCCTTGATTAGGAAGTGAGCAAAAGGGGGCTTACCTTACCGTACAATTCCATTTAGACTAGAGGAAGGGGTCGAGACTCCTGATTCCACCACCCGGAGAGAA